AAACAATAATTAGGAAGATAATCGTGAATTCCATTTTTATACTATTCACAGGGAAATTAAAAAATTGATAATTTTAAAAAATGGTGCCTACAAACGTTGTTCCTTTCTTAATTCTGAACAAGATTTATTTAAAAAATATTTTGATACAAACAATAATTAGAAAAATAATCGTAATTCCATTTTTATACTATACAGGGTGGGCAAATTTGGGTGTTATTATAGGCTATCTCAGAAACTATAAGAGATACGAAAAAAGTAGGTGCCATGTCCCGGTCTCTCTTTTCGAGACTAACCCAATCCCGCAAACACCAAACCTCTATCTTCTTTTGTTTTTAAGTTATAGCCAAAAAGTCAAACTTTCGTGATTTCAAAAAATGCTCATATTTCGTTTATTTTTGAAATTAGAAAAATGGGGTTGATACGTTCTTAAGACACTTTTTTAAGTAGAATATACTGCCGTTGAAAAATTTTAAAATTGATTTTTGAGGTACAACACAAAGTTGCATTTTTTTAAATACAAACTATACTTGATTATGATGCTAATGAAAAGAGCACATTTTTAGCTTTCCAATTATGTATCGCATATATAGTGCATTTGGCGGGTTTGGACGGTAATTACTACCTAATTGTTATATGGTCTTGCACGAATATGACAGAAAGTTGGTCTTGTACCATTATGCAGGATAAAGTTGGTGTTGTACCAACGAATAAAAACTTTGAATAGTTAATTTAAATTTCTTAGTGTCTTAACCCTGACTTTGTTCACCAATAAAAAATGATTTGTAGATAATATTTGTTTATTAAAAATACAAGAAATGTATTAATTAATGAATAATTAAATATGAACAACAACTTCAGGAACTAAACAATCACATTGAAAGAGTTAGATTAATAATCAAATAAAAACCATGTAAAAACTTCTAACTTGCATTTATTTATATAAAGTCGTACTAGATTCATCAGCGACAAAGTCAATGAAGCTATAATAGGTGTAGACTGGAAATCAAATGAAAGTAAAGCATTTTGCTATCTGATGGATAAACAAAATGAAGATAAAAGATGAAATAGGAATGGCGACGTTAAAAAGTGTGGAATGTTAAAAATTAGAAAATCGAGTAAATCTTTAAGGAGATGTGTTGGTGGGATGAGATGAGGCGAGACTGACTCATCTCATCCCAAGTTTTTCATATTAGCAACCTTTTCTTTTGAAATTGGGTGAGATATAGGAAGATTAGGGATCATAAACTGGGCAGCGGACTTTCCATTGAAACGATGTTTATATGGAGCCTTATCTATCAGTTTCAAAGAATCATTTGTTAATTTTATCACGTTACTATGGTAACTAAGTGGCATTTAACGTTTTCCTCGCCTACTATAATTAAAATTTTGATATTAATCTTTAATATTTTAGAATTAAAAAATAACGCTTATTTTCCCCAAATACACCATGCGTGCAATACATCATTGGAAAGCTAAAAATATACTAATAATATAAAAAAAAAATACAATTTTGGGTTGTATCTCAAAAATCATCAAATATTTTTAAAATTTTTCAACGGCATTATATTCTACTTAAAAAAGTGTCTTAAGAACGTATCAACCCCATTTCTCTAATTTCAAAAATAAACGAAATATGAGAATTTTTTGAAATCACGAAAATTTGACTTTTTGGCTATAACTTAAAAACAAAAGAAGATAGAGGTTTGGTGTTTGCGGGATTGGACTAGTCTCGGAAAAAGAGACCGGGACATGGCACCTACTTTTTTGGTATCTCTTATAGTTTCTGAGATAGCCTATAATAACACCCAAATTTGCCCACCCTGTACTGTTCACAGGGAAATTAAAAAATTGATAATTTTAAAAAATGTTGCCTACAAACGTTGTTCCTTGCTTAATTCTGAACAAGTTTTATTTAAAAAATATTTTGATATAAACAATAATTAGGAAAATAATTGTGAATTCGATTTTTTGTACTGTTCACAGGGAAATTAAAAAATTGATAATTTTAAAAAATGATGCCTACAAACTTTGTTCCTTTTTTAATTCTGAACAAGTTTTATTTGAATAATATTTTGATACAAACAATAATTAGGAAAATAATCGTAATTCCATTTTTGTACTGTACAGGGTGTCCAAATTTCGATGGGTTTGCAGGGTATCTCAGTTATTATGAAAGATAGAAAATTGCGGCTTTCGCGAACCTGAGCTACTTTTTTGTGAAACTTACAATGGCGCAAACCAAATTTTCATAGCCCTCTTTGTTTTTGATATACAGGGAGTACTTCAAAATTTACGATTTTCAGACACTTCCTGTATGTCGGCTATCCGGAAACGTAAAAATGGGTTATAATAGATTTTTTCACGTAGAATCCAATGGTGCTCGTAGAATTTTTCTAGTCATCACGGTTTGAGAGTTATAAAGAGTTAAGTGTTTTAGAAGTTGAGTATTCGGTATTTGGGTTGTGTTTATAACTCAAAAACCGTGATGACTAGAAAAATTGTACGTGCACCATTGGATTCCACGTGAAAAAATCTATTAGAACCCGTTTTTACTTTTTTACTAAGTTGTCTGAAAATCGTAAATTTCAAACACTCCCTGTATATCAAAAACGAAGAGGGCTATGAAAATTTGGTTTGTGGCAGTGTAAGTTTCACAAAAAAGTAGCTCAGGTTCGCGAAAGCCACAACTTTTTTTCTATCTTTCATAATAACTGAGATATCCTGCAAACCCATCGAAATTTGGACACTGTACTGTTCACAGGGAAATTAAAAAATTGATAATTTTAAAAAATAGTGCCTACAAACGTTGTTCCTTACTTAATTCTGAACAAGTTTTATTTGAAAAATATTGTGATACAAACAATAATTAGGAAAATAATCGTGAATTCGATTTTTTGTACTGTTCACAGGGAAATTAAAAAATTGACAATTTTAAAAAATGGTGCTTACAAACGTTGTTCCTTGTTTAATTTTAAACAAGTTTTATTTGAAAAATATTTTGATACAAACAATAATTAGGGAGATAATCGTAATTCCATTTTTGTACTGTACTATTCACAGGGAAATTAAAAAATTGATAATTTTAAAAAATGATGCCTACAAACTTTGTTCCTTCAATTCTGAACAAGTTTTATTTAAAAAATATTTTGATACAAACAATATTTAGATAATCGTAATTCCATTTTTGTACTGTACTATTCACAGGGAAATTAAAAAATTGATAATTTTAAAAAATGATGCCTACAAACTTTGTTCCTTGTTTAATTTTGAATAAGTTTTATTTGAAAAATATTTTGATACAAACAATAATTAGGAAAATAATCGTAATTTCATTTTTGTACTGTACTATTCACAGGGAAATTAAAAAATGGATAATTTTAAAAAATGATGCCTACAAACTTAGTTCCTTTTTTAATTCTGAACAAGTTTTATTTGAAAAATATTTTGATACAAACAATAATTAGAAAAATAATCTTAAATTTCATTTCTATACTGTTCACAGGAAAATTAAAAAATTAATAATTTGAAAAAATGTTGCCTACAAACGTTGTTCCTTGTTTAATTCTGAACAAGTTTTATTTGAAAAATATTTTGATACAAGCAATAATTAGGAAGATAATCGTGAATTCGATTTTTTGTACTATTCACAGGGAAATTAAAAAATTCATAATTTTAAAAAATGGTGCCTACAAACGTTGTTCCTTGTTTAATTTTAAACAAGTTTTATTTGAAAAATATTTTGATACAAACAATAATTAGGAAAATAATCTTAAATTTCATTTTTATACTATTCACAGGGAAATTAAAAAAATTATAATTTTAAAAAATGTTTTGTTAAAAGTAATTATAATCTCGAATGCAGAATCAGCTTTCTTTGATGTCAATTTTTACTAGTTATTTAAAAGTATTTTAATACTTTTTTTTTAATACTTTTTTGAGTATTTTAAAAAATCAACATGCTCGGAATCTTATTAAACAGTTTGACAGCTAAACAGTTGAAAATTTTGTTTAGCCAAATTAAGCCGGTTTATATTATATATATATGTTACCGTCTATATATATATATGCCTACTCTAGGGATTACACAGAGTACTTATTGCTCGACCGGCAATGTGAAAATAAAAAGATTTCGGTCTGTATTTATCAATTTTTAAAGCAAAGTATAAAATTAATAATATTTCATATATTACCTAAACGTTTTAGGTATTCTATAAATTGCCTAGGTATTGTATATAGAATACCGGATTATACAGATTACTTATATTTAATCGAAAGGAGAGGTTGCCTCCGGCTGAGGCATTATGATATAATTATCTTTCTACATTTTGCCTCGGCATTACTACTTCATTAATTACATTACTAGAAATTAATTCAAAATTTGTCCAAATATACTATTAATCAGAAAATCATTTTTTTTTTAAATAAGACGTTACGAATTTAATAACGATATTACGCATCGCCCGAGGATTGCCTCGGCGTCATCTGCTAAGCGTACATTAAATACGTTACAACATTCCAATAAAAACAACTGTTGATATCGAAATGTCAAAAATTTTTCATGTTAGATCGCCTCAGCCGCGGTTGCCTCGGCTTAATCTCTTAAAATCGAATATCTCAAAGAAATTTTAATCAAAGTTACTAATACGCTGTGCCTCAACTTGTAAGTCTAATAATATAGAGTTTTTAGTGATGAAATTTTGAATATTTTTGGAATAAATTTGTGATCTGATCTGAATCCTTGGCGTTCGTTGTAGTACATAGTTGGATTTGTTCGGTGTTCCCCTCCTTCTGGTGTAAAATTTCCCCGCTCCCCGGATAACAACACCGGAGTTGTAAAAGAGCCAACCTTCTCAACGTCTCGGTCGCCAATTGCGACCCGTGGGCCTAAAACGACGACCCGCCTTCCGTCCAATAATGAGCTGGGGTCGCGTCGGCGCTCGTCTGGGGCCCCTTTCCAACCCGCCGCCACTGGAAGCCCGCGCAGAAGGCAGTTCGCCGTCGCCACCGTACGCGACCGGAGGTGCTAAACGATTTCTTTTCTCGACGCGATTCCGGCCTTTTTATTCGATAATATTTTTTAACCGAAAAAACCAAAATCGTGCGTGCGTTTTTGTGGGTTTTTTTTTTTTATGTTTTCATTTTGAATCTGATGACACACCGAGAATAATATAAGAAGAAGAAAAAAGAACTTGATGTGATTATTTTAATTTGACGAAAAAAATTAATAAATAAATAAATAACAACAACAATTTAACCCGAAGAGATTTTTTTTTGATTCTTATCAAAAAAAAAAAAAGAAAATAATGGAAAGTTAAGCGACGGGGTCTGAAAAAACAAAAATGAATTGAAACAAATAAACTGAAAATGAAGTGATTTGACTTAAAATTTGTGATTTTTTATTTTGTGTGATCAGAAAATTATTTGAGGATAATTTTTGTGGGGGAAAAGAATAAGGTAGGATTTTTTTTTTAATTTAAACTAAGGCGACGGAAACTTGAACATACATATATATAAAATGAGGTTACATCATCACTTAGTTAGTTAGCTACAATAAAGCGTTTAATATAGAAATGCTTAACTAAGCGTTAATCGAGCGTTAACTCCGGGTTAAAGTTGTAATTAATCAAAAATTGATTGTATTAAATCGTGATAATAAAAATAGTTTGGTTTAATTGGGTTCTTTTAACTTTGAAAAAGTATCTTCAAAGCTAATCCAAAATGAATTAACTATTTTAGCTTCGCTTGTACATCATGATTAAATTTAGCGTGGTGCTAATCAAGTCTCATGTTATTTTTTTTTATCATTTCGATATATAATTTGAAATTGAAAGTATCCTCAATTAAAAACCCCTATGTTTTTTTCTAATACAAGAATTTCGCTAAAGATTTTTTGTGGTGTTTTATCTTTGTAGGTTTAGATATAAAAGCTTGAGGCGAGAGTGTTAATAAAAACGAAATGTTTGAGTTAACTTCAATACGCTAATAATGTTAATAACGTCGAATTATATATATAAACTGAGATTGCTTTGTTTAATTTTTAATTCTATACTAAAATTGCAATATCTTCACAAAATTATATATATGATTGATAAAATATATATATATATATGATAGCATTTCCTTAAACACTGTTCCTTATTTAATTCTGAACAAGTTTTATTTAAAAAATTTTTTGATACGAACAATAATTATGAAAATAATCGTGAATTCGATTTTTTGTACTATTCACAGGGAAATTAAAAAATTCATAATTTTAAAAAATGGTGCCTACAAACACTGTTCCTTGTTTAATTTTAAACAAGTTTTATTTGAAAAATTTTTTGATACAAACAATAATTTGGAAGATAATCGCGAATTTGATTTTTTGTACTATTCACAGGGAAATTAAAAAATTCATAATTTTAAAAAATGATGCCTACAAACACTGTTCCTTGTTTAATTCTGAACAAGTTTTATTTAAAAAATATTTTGATACAAACAATAATTTGGAAGATAATCGTTAATTCGACTTTTTGTACTATTCACAGGGAAATTAAAAAATTCATAATTTTAAAAAATGTTGCCTACAAACACTGTTCCTTGTATAATTCTGAACAAGTTTTATTTGAAAAATATTTTGATACAAACAATAATTAGGAAAATAATACTATATTCCATTTTTGTACTATTCACAGGGAAATTAAAATTTCGATTTCTTTGCTATGTTAGAACACAATTGTTACTTATATATCTCTGGACTCAAAACTATATCAAACTATATCAATAATACATGGTGGAATTAAAATATCGAATGCCGGGGATGATAATGATAAAGTTATAAGTGGAATTAGGCAAATAAAAGCTAAAGAAATGCTACCAGATGATTAAATGTGTTGTGAGCTAACAAATAATCAAGCGAACTAAAATCCGAATATATAAGACAGTGTCAACCATAAAATGAGGTTGAGGCATAAAAAGTATATAAGTATATATAATAACTAATATTAATATGTCTCTTAATAATAAATATATAAAGTGTTTGTAGCACCTCGGCTACAATATCTACCCATCAGCTAATATATATCTAATAAATATAAAAAAATTTTGGAGTCAAAACTGTTAATCATAAAATGAGGTTGCTATATATATAAAATATTTGTAGCGTCTCGGCCGCAAGCGACATCAGCTATAACGACGTACTTTTAGTAAAAAATGTCTTTGATATCTTAATTGTTAATTGTATTCCAAAATGGCAATGTCTCATCTTCGCCAAATTTAATACAAAAGCCGAGGTCGCTTGCGGGCGAGGCTCTGCAATCAAAATTGTTAATTGTAAAATGAGGTTGATATATATAAAGTGTTTGTAGCGCCTCGGCTACAATATCTACCCATCAGCTAATAAATGTCTACATATTTAGCTAATATATATCTAATAAATATACAAATTTTGGAGTCAAAACTGTTAATCGTAAAATAAGATTGATATATATATATATATATATAAAGTGTTGGTAGCACCTCGGCCGCAAGCGACATCATCTACAATGATATGCTGTCATCAAAAAATATCTTCGCTAACTCAACTCAAGCCAACCTAAGTCTTAATCATAAAATGAGGTTGCTATATATATATAAAATATTTGTAGCGCTTAGGCCACAAGCGACATTAGCTATAATGACGTACTTTTAGTAAAAAATGTCTTTGCTATCTTAATTGTTAGTTGTATATCAAAATGGCAATGTCTCATCTTCGCCAATTTTAATACAAAAGCCGAGGTCGCTTGCGGGCGAGGCTCTGCAATCAAAATTGTTAACTGTAAAATGAGGTTGATATATATAAAGTGTTGGTAGCACCTCGGCCGCAAGCGACATCATCTACAATGATATGCTGTCATCAAAAAATATCTTCGCTAACTCAACTCAAGCCAACCCAAGTCTTAATAATAAAATGAGGTTGCTATATATATAAAATATTTGTAGCGCCTCGGCCGCAAACGACATTAGCTATAATGACGTACCTTTAGCAAAAAATGTCTTTACTATCTTAATTGTTAGTTGTATACCAAAATGGGAATGTCTCATCTTCGTCAATTTTAATACAAAAGCCGAGGTCGCTTGCGGGCGAGGCTCTGTAATCAAAATTGTTAATCGTAAAATGAGGTTGATATATATAAAGTGTTTGTAGCGCCTCGGCTACAATATCTAAATATATAAATGTCTACATATTTAGCTAATATATTTCTAATAAATATAAAAATTTTGGAGTAAAAACTGTTAATCGTAAAATAAGATTGATATATATATATATATAAAGTGTTGGTAGCGCCTCGGCCGCAAGCGACATCATCTACAATGATATGCTGTCATCAAAAAATATCTTCGCTAACTCAACTCAAGCCAACCCAAGTCTTAATCATACAATGAGGTTGCTATATATATAAAATATTTGTAGCGCCTCGGCCGCAAAGCTATAATGACGTACTTTTAGTAAAAAATGTCTTTGCTATCTTAATTGTTAGTTGTATACCAAAATGGGAATGTCTCATCTTCGCCAATTTTAATACAAAAGCCGAGGTCGCTTGCGGGCGAGGCTCTGCAATCAAAATTGTTAATTGTAAAATGAGGTTGATATATATAAAGTGTTTGTAGCGCCTCGGCTACAATATCTACCCATCAGCTAATAAATGTCTACATATTTAGCTAATATATATCTAATAAATATACAAATTTTGGAGTCAAAACTGTTAATCGTAAAATAAGATTGATATATATATATATATATATAAAGTGTTGGTAGCACCTCGGCCGCAAGCGACATCATCTACAATGATATGCTGTCATCAAAAAATATCTTCGCTAACTCAACTCAAGCCAACCCAAGTCTTAATAATAAAATGAGGTTGCTATATATATAAAATATTTGTAGCGCCTCGGCCGCAAACGACATTAGCTATAATGACGTACCTTTAGCAAAAAATGTCTTTACTATCTTAATTGTTAGTTGTATACCAAAATGGGAATGTCTCATCTTCGTCAATTTTAATACAAAAGCCGAGGTCGCTTGCGGGCGAGGCTCTGCAATCAAAATTGTTAATCGTAAAATGAGGTTGATATATATAAAGTGTTTGTAGCGCCTCGGCTACAATATCTACCCATCAGCTAATAAATGTCTACATATTTAGCTAATATATATCTAATAAATATACAAATTTTGGAGTCAAAACTGTTAATCGTAAAATAAGATTGATATATATATATATATATATAAAGTGTTGGTAGCACCTCGGCCGCAAGCGACATCATCTACAATGATATGCTGTCATCAAAAAATATCTTCGCTAACTCAACTCAAGCCAACCCAAGTCTTA